TTTAATCTCAAAAAATGCTACTCCCGTACTAGTATGCTATGCGGCTTCATGGGAAAGAAAGGATAATAATGTACGGGACGTAGGGATGCATGCATGTATGCTAGAGCTAAGCAGAACCCAAAATGAGGAACGCAGAAGCAGAAGGGAATAACAGCGCTCAAGGGAACCAACATCATAAAAAAAAGGGATGAAAACTGAAAAATGAGTAATAACCCCAAAATGTGGGTCGCCCAAAACAGTAATGAAAATGCACAGATGCAATAAAAGATATGCATGTACGTATGTATCGTCAATCCCATCATAAAAGTATGCCGCAAAGGAAAAAGAAAAGAAAAAGAAAATTGAGTGAGGTGAGAGAAAGCAGATAATCCCCGAGGGAATATGGTAAACGCAAGATGTAGGAAAATCGCGAGGGTCATCAAGTATATACAAACAAGTATGAAAAAAATGGTGGGAGAAACACATATTATATACCGAAATATTCATATCCACCTTTTTTCCTCCACGGCCATCATGTCCATGTCCACGTTAGAATCCACGTCTCCCATCTTATCCCATCATGTAACATCACCCCTGACCTTCCTCGCTGCAAACCATCCTAAATCCACTGCCGTGTCATTAACACCAATAACCGGCGCCGACTCCTCCAGCATCTCCCACGGCCGTAGTGGAAATCGTCCCACAATGCCGCCCGGATGCTGTACGCGCAACTTACCGACAAGAGAATTCTGGTCGTCAAAGGGGAGGAAGTTTGTGGTGTTGTAGATGTTGCCGCTTTGGAATTGTTGGGAAGACGAAGAGTTTGACTTAGCACCAGGAGGTGCTCCTGCAGCTGGCGTTGCAGTAGAGGCGGGGGGGCCTAGTGTTGTTTGTGACAGGTTAGGTACTACCGGCTGTTGTTGGGAGGATTGCATGGTGGATGACGATGGCTGAGTGTCTGCTGCTAAGGGTCCGAGGAGAAAGAAAAGACGTGGGTTGTTTTGTGGGTGAAGGAAGGGAGGGCAGCGGTCGCGGAAGAAACGCGAGCATTGGTGGCGACTATCATCTGGGATAGAGTCGAGGAGAGTTGCAGCGACATCTAGGGCTTGAGTTCGTAGATTGGTTGATATGCCAGCATCGGTACTGTAGAAAAGGGGTTGAGGCTGTGAACCTTGGAGAGGAACAGCAAACGTAAGAGGGGTGGTTGGGGGAATGTAGTAGGGCTGGGCGGAGGGGACCTTGGGGGAGAGCGTCTTCGATAGAGCGATGCAGGTGATTGAGATCAGTAGGCGGGATTGGTCGGCCAAGTCGGATTTTGACAGAGTGCCTGGGGTAAATGTGGACCGGTGGATGGAGACTAGACGGAGCAAAATGTAAAACCAGAATGTAATGGCAGATTCCTGGGTCGCGTGAGCCTGGCGAATGGCCGCGGCTTGGTCGTTATATTGGGTTATATTGATATTCATGATGTGACTTTCAAGGATGGTAATTCTGTGCAGAATCATGTTCATCTTTTCGATCAGCATAGGACCCAGTGACGGACTACCATTCTCCGGAACGCTAAATGATAGATTCTCCACTATGCGCAGACATACGAGCGCAGAAGCGGTTATAGATGTTGGCGCACCGGACTTGGATACCGGGCTGGCCGGCAGAGAATCGGAGGAGAGCACAAGGGACAGTAGTTGCTCCTCTGCTCGTTGGCGGATCTTTGCGAAAAAAGAAAAAAAAAAAGTCAGCACTGTCATCAAATTGTAGTTCAGATGGTATCCTGCTCACCTCTGTTGCTGCATCTGCATGCAAGGTTCCCACAACATCAATCCAATGGGACTGACCCTTATGCATATTTGATTTAGCCGCTTCAAAGACGACATCATAAATACGCTTTTTCACGTCATTGTCACACTCGAAATTGAACAGCAGTCGTAAGTTTATTAGACACAATGGTAATGAGAAATCATTGATCGACTCTATAGTTCTTTCGGCTGCAGCTAGGCCTATCCCTAGACGAGTTAGTTGCTGTATTAACACTCATCACAGGGTTAAAAAACATTACCAGTTTGAACTGGAGACGCCAACAAACGACCCAGTGCCTGATGTGTTAGATTCATGCAGGCGGGAAATGTTTCCAGTAAACGGTCCCGACAATCCGCACCAACAATAGAAGGATGTCGAACAATAATTTCACACAAAAGAGGCGTCACAATGGTACTCAGCATATCATTGTTGAATTGCTTGGGTGGAGTGTCAACTCCATTTTCAGAAAGGTTTGCGAGCAAATCTTGGATGAGGCCGAGAGCTTCTCCAGAATACTGTCTCATGTACCCTTGCCGGGCAATTTTAAACCGATACGCAACCTTGATGCGAAAAAGAAAACAAAGTACGTAAGCAACTGCAACATTTTACAACTTGTGGAAAATCTGTCATAACTTACCAGACCCTGCGATCCATTCCCATTTGACAGCTTATCGTCTAGTAGCTGAATCATATCGATGCGAAGCTCTGCCAAATCCGGAATGGCATTTTTATGCGCATCAGAATGCAGAAATGCTCTAGCAAGTACATAGAAAGAGTGCAATGTCACGCATCCGACGCCGATAAGGGGTGGTAAAATGGAGGAGAGTTTTGGTCGAGGTGACGTCCTCAGCACCGAAATGACCCATTTGATCATGAGGTTATCGAACAATTTGGTATTGAACGGCCTAAGGTTTGCGAAATATCGCGCAGTCTCATGAGCACTTTGTTCCCCATTTATGCTGCCAGCTTCAAGTTTCTTCCGAAGGGTGTCAAAAATTCGTGCCATGGTTGATTCGTCCATGCTATTCCCAGAAGTTAACAGCTGATCCAGTTCTTCCGTGAATGTGGGGTTGGCTGTATTTAGCGTATCAACAATGTGGTCAGAGACTGGAGAGCAAGCTGCCATGGCTAACTTCCTATCCCGTTGGAGTTGATCTCGACGGAGCATAGAAAGCGTGGACAATTCCGCTGGAAGCTTGATGGCAACATCCAAAAGTGAAGCAATTAGATCTTGGACCGATAATTCAGTTTTGCTGATTCTAGCGTAAGCTCCTGTGAAGCTTTTGAAAAGATCACCAGTAGCACCGATGGCATTAAACGAGTCTAGATGATAGTTCAGTGTGTCGACGGCTGATGCTACTACGGTCACATTGTTGGATCCGGAAGCATACTTCAAAACGTCGGCAAGCATGGAGAAATCACATAGACATTCAAGAATATATCGTACTTCGAAAAATTCTTGAGGAGTAAGTGCCGATGTTTTGGCTTCACTTGCGAAATCGCGGTCAATAGCACTCCTAGTGCGCCATTAGCAGGTAAGAAACGGTAACGTAACATCTAGCGATTTTTTTTTTTTTTTTTTTTTTTTGAAATAAATAAAAAAAAAAAAAAAAATTGAACTTACTTGAGACTATTTTTGACATGAGAGGCTACCTGATTCCTTATCCAATTTCCTATTTCTGACCTTACCGTCCAGCTTAGCGACGTAAGATCAACATCATCTGTCATTTCAGCATCTCCATCTATAGAAAGCATAGGAAACATGTGGGGAAGGCGCCGTCGAACGGAAGCCTTAATGAGTTGAATCGTATCATTCTCAAGAGCTACTGAAAATCCAGTCCTTGACAAGAGCGTATTCCGCAAATTCCATATATGGCTTGGGAGACGATGTGGTGGAAGATGGCCGAGGAGTCCGATGTCAGCCGAAACATGCTACAAATGTACACGTTAGATAACAATTTTGATCATGGATAGAATAACATTCAGGAATGGTGGGGTACTGTACCATCTGCTGAAAGTCAGAGACATTGCTGAGAACCCCACGTGCCATGAGCCACTGCAGGTATTTTTGCTACAGAGAATGATTGTGATCGAACCAGCTCGCAAATAACATGGTACACATCAAAAAGCCGCACACCTGACTTCCGGTGATCTTGTATGAGGAACGAAAGAATGTGGGAGTCGATATCGACCCCTGACTTTTTCCATTTCCGAAAAACGCGCACCACCGTGTATGTTCGCGCCGTCCCATACCGAAAGGAAGTCGATGCCCATTCTATCAATTTGGTAACTAGGATGCTATAGTCCTGAGATATATTCAAGCACTCTGAGCAAATGGTGGAAACGTCACTAGAAGAGTCAAGAAGTTGGATGAGGCGTTGATTGATAGATTGTATGGGTTTCCCACGATCGTTCTGTAACCGACAAACTCGAGTGTTTCTGGCCTTAAGGTTTTGGAAAGCGGCCTTGTCCTCTGGGAGGTTCATGTCTAGACATGATGATAGTACACTTTCGTATTTGGCCCAGGTCCGAGGAAGAATAAAGGAGGATGGATGATACAGGGTTAATGTTTTGGTCAGGCGAGATAGGCGCTGCGCAACGGGGTTCAAGTGTGCATTTTGACCGGCGTCAGACACCTGCAATATATAACATCAGCTTCTAGGTCCTAAGAATAGGGAGGAGAAAATGGGGGGAATTGTGATATAACGTACCAGACGGAGTTTCTCCAGTAAGCACTCCGCCAAACGCTTTGCCCTTTTGCGATAGCGGACTATATTTTGCCAGTAAACCCCAACCATGAGGAGCCACACAGGAAGGCTCTCAAAAGAAGAATTATCTAAGGACGTAAGAAACCAATCTAGAAAATGATCTTGCTCGATCAGGTGTTCGAGAAAGATCCGTGCCGAGAGCCTGATACTATAAGAGATCCTCAATTTCCAGCTCGCATCGCCAAAACTAGCAATCACGCCCTCGATGAATTGCTGTACGCTGACAGTCCAGTCTCGAACCCATTTTGTTTCGAGACCACTCGCAACTCCCGCAGAGGTCCCTTTTCTCTTGAATGCGCGTAATTCGTTGGCACCCACGCATTTAGCCAGCCATATAGCCCGACAAATAGGAATGGATTTCCCAAGGCATTGGTCTAGAAGTAGTTTGCCCCTGATTCCATGTGGTATAGTGCGACTAAGTCTACGTAACGGAATAGAGGGGTTTGCCAAATCGCGAAGCCAAGCCTCACGTTTGATATCGGTTAGTGTAACCCGGGGAGGAGGCCGAAAGGTCGACGCCGCGGTGATTGTACATAAGGCCTGGCGTTTTTCGAGGGCTGCAGCAAAAACGGATGACAAGAGTTTCAATCCAGAACGACGCTTGAAATGGGGATAAACACTTGTTCTGGCACTCGTGCTCTCAGTAGGGGGCACTGGAGAGCGGTCATGGAAGCCTTGCTTGATGGTTTGCTCTGACAATACGTCTTCAGGGTGTGATCCTCTCCAAGGAGCGAAATCCGCAGGTTCTACAATGCACATTAGTAAATGGGAAATAGAAATCCAGAAAAACAAAGCAACATTAATCAGGGCTTCTTCAAGTGTAAAAGGACATACTGTTATCTGCGAATCGTGGTGCAATGGAGGGAACGTCGATACGATACGGTGTCGTCGTCACCTCTCCGCATTCCTCGTTTTTTTTCTGGTTCGTCGCACCAGCGACATACCGTTCTTGGATGCCATATTTCCAAGGGCGAATAGGCAGCGGGGGCAAAGATGCAGACTGCGACCACTGGGCAAGCTCCGTCTGAGCCCCTGGACCAGTTCTCCGTATATCGCTCGGGAACGACCATGGCGGCCGCGCGGTCTGCTCTGTCGAAGAGGCATTCATGAGATCTAAAGGATTCATAGAAGATTCTGGAGCTTCGCTTGCCGTGGAGGAACCATGATGTTGAGAGCTGGACTGGTTTTGGGATTGGTGATGTTGTTGATGTTGGTTCTGGAGAGGGTCCTCGGACGACTGCGAAGGCCCATTGCCAGCATCCAGCCGCGGTCTCTTGGCAGGCCGCTCGCCATCAGCCGCGCCACTGTGATCGGACTCAGTGAGGTCGATGACCGTATTTTGCTGCGGGCGGGAATCAATTGCCGGATAGGGGTCTGGGGCAGGGTAGAGGTGGGCTGACGAGCGTCGACTGGGAGCGGAGGGACGTGAAGGCGGTCGGTGGGAAGAAGGATGGGGGATCATTTCCAAACATGGCGGACGTCCCGATGGTGGACATCGGAACGATCAGGCCATTTTCATTGTCGAGGGTGAGTTGATTGCGGTGGGGAGAAGATTTGACGGCTGATGCGGAGGTGGATGATGGGCTATTAGCCGGCAAGCCAAGTTCTGCTGTGGCCGTAGGAAGGTGATTGTAAGAATGTGACAAAGCCTAGAAAACCAGCGCAAACCTCGAGCTGGATCGACTGGTATCTGCAAATCTCTTAGGGAGATTGATGGTTATGGCTGTTGTTGCCGGTGGGTGGTGGTTGGTTGGCTGAGTTTGGATTGGGTCGGGCAACGAAGTTCGACGATGTTTGTCGGCAAACGTCAGGTGCACGGCAACCTTGGACCAGCCTACGATAGGAGGACTGGATAACTCCAACAAGCACGCCGTAGTTAATGGTGAAGCATGGCACAGATCGAGTCTGTCAGAAGAATAGCGGTTGACAAAGCGCTGGCATCTCTCTGTCTGACCAGAGGCGGCGGCGATTTGGCTGATCAACTAATTATTTTCCAAAAATGTCAAACCTTCACCCAATCCAGCATCATCATGCACGGGATAGAGTGATAGTTCTGTGTCTATTTACAGAAACAGATGACAGATGAAAGAGATAACTACTCCCGCAGTCTCACTTATTTTTCAAACCACCGGAACCATCCTCTACGTCTATGCCCGCATGCTGCTCTCACCGTTCCTCACAGACCTCTCAGGCAAATTCAGCATTGGTGCTGAACGGGTTAAGGTTAAGTTGCGGGCTCTTCCGTGGTTTAAAAAAGCGCCAACCACTTATTCGGCTGTCCCGTCTTGGTTGGCTTATTCCAAGATTTCCGGGATTATTACTTACTATTAATGTTAACATGGTGAGTAATTCATGCTTGTGGGAGTCGTCTTGTCACTGTGTTGGAAGGTTTGAGCGTCAATATGCGCGCCTCCTCCTGCGTTGTGATATTTACATCGACATCGGCTTGATGCTTACCAGCCATTCATTCATCAGTGCAATGTCTCCTTCGGACCAGGGACAGTTGTCATTACTGTCATCCAACGTGGCTATCTAAATATCCATGTCAAGCAGAAGACATCATCAAAGACTCGGTCAAACCTCGGCTCCGTTTCTCTACAACATCACCTTTTCTGGCTGAGCGGAAACGATAATATATCATCAGTCATCACTATTGTCTCACTTCAGAGTTCTCTCTAAGCAACAACATCCCTTCCGGTCTCTCCGGATGATTAATTAATTCGTCGCTTTTTTCACAACAGAAGTCAGATGTGTTTGTGCCATGTTACATTGCTAGTTATACCTCTCCTCTTTAGCATGCCTCTCACAACCAAGACAGGTCCCTACATCCTGTAACTAACTGCCTTCCAGCATGCCGTTACTTTGAAAAAAGAACTTTTGGGTATTCTATTGCACAGCAAGAAGGGAAAAAAAAAACAAAAAAACAAAAAAAAAAAAAAAAAAAAAACTAAAAAAGGCAAGGTTTATTCCTCAGGTATCCACTCCTTTGTCATCAGTTGTTTGACGAAGTATCCAACACATGGCCTAAGGTGAGCGCAGGCTGAAGAGTCGGCTCCTTACGCACCTAGGTATGTATCCATTTAGCCACCTAATAGTTGAGATATACACGACATACCCTGTGCCCTCAGGTTGTGTCTGCCGATAGGCTCCGGGTCAAGCAGCGAGCTGTAACATTTTCATAACACCATGGAAACCCCTGTTGCTCCTGGCGTCCGATAATCACCGTCGGCCAAATTATTTGGACACTCTTCCCACCTTAAATCCATTGCCAACATCAATCCGGGCCCGCAACGATCGTTGCCACGACCGCCACCCACCACTGACCAAACCCTGGCCATTGTAGTCCAATCGAAGTGGACCCCACTCCTTGGCAAAAACGTGCATTCCTGGCACATTGATTTCACCAGCTCGCACAAGGGGGAAAGAATGAGATGATCCCCATGTGGTGCTGAACGAGGATAGGCCTTGTACATGCATCTCACTGGGGCACACGACATATGCGTGATGGCGTACACTCTATATTATCTCCGCCCCTCACTTTTCGGAATCGATTGCCGTCTTTCTTTGAACAAAGCCTGGCCCGCATCAGTCAAGTAAAACGATATACAAAAACTGTCGCTTTTGCAGGACCCCTGCAATATACTAGATAACAGTCGACAAGACACCTCTCTCCCAGTCCAGTAGAAAGTTCTTTCAACTGACAAAAAGACATGCCTCGATTCGTAAAGGGAGGGTCAAATAAAAAGGAGGAAAGAGAGAGAGAGAGAGAGAGAGAGAGAGAACCATTCAACCATCCTCACCCACTTCCATTCCAATCACTCGACCATATAAAGGTATCGCACCGCCACTGATCCCCTGTTTTCTTAATACCCGTAGGTCCCAAAGGCCGCGAACATATCCAAAAGGATCGGCCGCGGTTGATTCCCGCTTTTTTTGTCACAAGGCTGATGCAAGGTTCATCGTGGCCATCACATTTCGGTGGAGGCTTTTTCGTGAAGAGCTTTGACCATGATTCCTTGTTGGCAATTGGATCATGCACTCTACCGGAATTATCATTATCTTTGTCGTATGCCGGTGGGCCAGCCGTCTGTGATTGTTGACATCCATTTTCTTGAGAGTCACAGCAACCTCCTGATGAACATGGAGGTTTTATTGCGGTTCCCTTTTGTGGACTGCCACCTTCTGTCGTAGCCGACGACTTAGAGTGGTCATTTTCATCATCTGCAGAAGCAACTGTAGTACAAGGAGTTGTTTTCGGGCCAAAAAAACCTTTCAAGGTTTTTTGCCCCTTCGCCTTCGTAGTAGTTGCCGACGACTCACTCCGTTTCAAACGTTTGGGTCGTGAGGTTGTCCCATCATCCTCTTTCTGAGGCCGCTTCGGAGTGTTTGGCTCTGCTGATGTTGCTATCGGAGTAGAAGACGGGGAAGGTATATTCGACCTCCCTATTGCAGAAAGGTTGATGTCGGAGGAGGCTTTATGGGCAGAAATGGGGATAGCTACACCGCTAGCAGCGTTTCCACTACCCTGCGAACCATTTTGTGACCTCTGTTGAAATAACATATCTTTAATGCTTCTTCGCTGACAAAATTCAGGAATTAATCTACCCGAAAGTGGAAGAGTATCTGCGAGGGAGTATTCCCGCTTCCGCTGTCCATTTTCGAAAGTGCCCTTCGGGTTGAGAATGTCGAGCATGTTGACTTCTATCCCGTCCAATGACACCTTATCCTTCAATTCGGCAAAAACGGGACAGTGATCGGAGCCCTAGAGTCACTATATCAGAATTACATGTGGGACTAAAGCATAACAGTAGGGACGCAATCACCATAAGGCCCTCCTGGATATTCGATGCAGAAAACCAGTCTTGCATACTTCTGTCGCATAGAACATAATCGATCCGCGCACCGTAATTGCCGGGTCGAGCGTTGACTCTTTGTTCCCAGCAAGTATACATACCTAGTCGATCACGGTGGTATTTTCTACATAAATCCACAAGGACAGGCGTTTCCCTTCCGTGGTCCCTGTCACCAATAACCTTTCCACCATCGACCACTGATTAAAGATACGACGAACGGGCGAAGATACAAACTCCGAATCTGTCAGGGTACCTTTCCTTATCCCTTCGAGAGCACGGGCCGAATCGATTTGAGAGCCGCTGATGTTTAAGTCTCCCATCACGATGACGCGTTTCCCCATAGTGGCTAGATTCCGTACTCTTGCATCAAGCACATTCACAAACCCTGTCCGAAACCCGTCTCTTGTCTCATCCCTGTTCGCCGGACAGTAGACACCAATCAAGACAAATGCTGGGAACTCCAGGATCATACAGCGTCCCTCAGAATCAAGCGTGGCAGCATCTACATCTGAAAGAGCCAGCTGTTCAGCAGTAGGGTAGCCGCCGATCTGTGCTTCTTCTGGCAAGTCGCGGAACGAAGTTGGTGACGATAAATTAGACCCAGATGTTGGCAAGCACAGAATGCCCGTAATCCCTTCTTCCGCGCGTATGGGACAGCATATAGAGTTCCTGGTATATATCACGACTCCAGAATAACCTGTGCGTAGTGTTAGTTACATATATACTTGCATAGGTATCCGATTCAAAAGTTCATAGTACCCGGGTCTTACGGACCCTTTTTATACTTGGGTAGGCTGAAAAAACAGTCCCAGCCATTAACAAGGACCATGTCATCTTGCAAATCTTTCCTTTGAATTTTCGTTTCTTGGAAGATCACTATGTCTGCTTCAAGGGCATCGAACATCGCCTGTATATGGAATATTAGAAATTATACATATACGCAAGGTACAAACTTCTCGGGTCTCTATATTACTAAATACTGGTACATACCTCGAAGGACCGCTTCTCTCTCCATGGATGATACGAAAACGGGTTACTAAAAAATATATTGTTATTTTGCCATAGACCTCATAAAACCATTGTCTAGACCATAACACTGACCGTATCCCATTAACTACAACCAGAGTGGGTTAGTTATATGTGGAATACTGAGGTTGAGCAAGCTTGCGTACCATTCCAGGTTGTCAACCTGACCATCTGTGACGGGTCCTATCTGATATCATCAAAAACAGATTTTTGGGACCGATGTTTTCAAGAACCGACAAATGGCCCATACAGACTGTCAATTAAGAAAAGAATTATTCATATAAAGGGCACATCCACGGTTTGGAGGGAGTGTTGTGTAGATGTTTAGGGCATTATCGAGCGATTTCCTGCATGGGACGAGGAGTTGCCAAGATCATCATGTGATATAGCGTTCTCTCGGAACTGTCGCAATCCAGCCAAAGATGGACGATCATACAACATCACAAATTCCTGATTCAACACACAACACATTCTTCACACAGCAACCACCGACCGTCAATCGGCTCCCGTGCAGATTGATAGAGTGACTAAACATTATGTTCCCTCGTGTTTCAGTTTTTCGCCTGGCCCAGCGAACTGGTGTCCCCGCGACCCGTTCGTCGCCCGTCCGGTCTGGGGTTCTCCAACGTCGATTCAACAGCACCGAGCAAAAGCTTCCCCCACTCCCTGACAATGCCTTTAACCGTGAAAGAGCTGCTGTAAAAGCTCATGCTGCAGCTACCAGTGGTACGTTTGCCTGTTTCTCCGTCTCGATTTGCCAAGTGGTGTCAAAGCAGGACAATTCTAACCATTACTTGTGTTTCATTTTTCGTAGACTTGTGGCGGAAACTTTCCATCTAGTATGACCATAAACACCCCTCCCTCAGCTATCCTATACTCTACGGTCGTTTCCCATTTCTACACATCCAGTTCATCATTCGAGTGGATTAGAATGATAGAGAAAAGAGATTCCCGAATAGGTGATCTAATTACCGTGTCAATTCTAGCGCTGTCGTGCCCGTCGTCCTTCTCGCCAGTATCAATGCCTACAACCTGTGGAATGAGCATTGGGAACACTGGGAGCACATGCCACCTTTGGAAGAGCGGGTAGAATACCCTTACCAAAACATTCGAAACAAAAATTACCCCTGGGGTGATGGCGATAAGGTATGTCCATGTCATATTTGGGCGCTTGCCTATGTGGTTTATATTTGAGCGAATCCCATTTGCTAACCCATCTTGGAAACCTATAGACCTTGTTGTAAGTGTTTTCTATACGCGAGGATCCCTCCCGTTGGTCCTCGCTGTTTTGGTTTTGATTAGACATGAGACCAGGATAATATCCTGATCTGAATGACACCCGCGCTATCGATATATTCAGCCCCCTTTGTATGGACTATTATTATCGCTAACGAGGATGATTCAACAGCTGGAACTCTTCCGTAAACTATCACAACCAAGACAAGGTTACATAAACTGCCGCCTCCCACATAGGTCTCTCCACAATCCCCATTCAGAGAGATCTCGGATGAAGTGCAAGTAAGCAGGTCGGGGAAGAAGAGGGGAGAAATGAGTGAAAAAAGCCCATACAATGTATTTAGTACACTCAACATTTTCATTCCAACTGTCTCTTTTTTCGCACGAGTGATTGGAAAAATCACCTCAAAATCCTGAGGGAGATCATGTCGGCTCTCGCAGCACGTCCCGCTCCCTTGTAAATAAGCTTCTTTTGTTTAATTACTTCGCTTGATTTAGAGTATGGAATACTACGCCTACTTTAATATGCAGTCCATGTCGGAGCTTCTCTTATCGTATGATGCCACTTCTGGGCAATAGACGCTTTCCCATTTCCGGATTAGTTCCGCCAAGTCCCGGAAACAGCGCGATGCGACTGCGATTCCAAAATGTCAGACGGGGGAGTTCACGCTGCTCCAAACGCTGCTCCAGCTTCTTTTGCCGCAATGCAAGCTACAATTATTGCTTTTTGAATACAGTGAACGAGCTATTATACATTCCGTGACTCTCCGTTCAAACTATACACCATCTCTCCACTTCTGAAAAAGATGGCCACCAAGAAAGATATGCGGAGACCGGAGCTCGGTTGGTATCTCCATGATGTCTGATTGATGGGACTATATCTTATGCTAATTGTTACCGCTAGTTGTTCCATATGTTGAGCCGCCGGCGAAAGCGTCAGAGGCTTCGGATATGAGCAGTATGCTATGCCAGCTGAGAATGCGTTCACTGCGTTGTCTTTGTCTTGCCATCCTAACTTGATGTTTTAATGTAGGCACGATGTCGAACACGATGCCCATGGCTGCTGTATGTACTTTAAGCCCGTGACGCCCTAATCAATTACAATGCTTGAAACATTGTTGACCAGCCGCCTTACGATATTAGATGTTCTCGAGAAATAAGTACGTGTCGCCTCCACACGCTCCTCACCCTTGCTTTCTCCGCCCGCCGTCTCCCCAATTCGTGTCTCCCGTGCACCTTTGCTAACAAAAAATCTTCCGCGCCAATAGGATGATTGCCTGGTATGCTTATTCCAGCTTGTTACATTGAAGGCATGGGAATCGCATCGCGCTGATTAACTGGAAACAGGGCTGCCGTTACGTTCTCCCTGCAAAACTGGATGGCGGAAACCCCAGAGCAGCAAAAGAAGACAGCAACGCCCGCATACATGGGTGTGATTATGGCCTGTAAGAACTGTCGCTCGCTGTTATAAACTTCTTGCTGGGTCCTATTTTCTGGACCGTTATTGCCTCGGAAACTAAACTAATCTACTTGACAACCCTTCTATATGTAGTCCTCTCTCTCCTTGTCGTACGTCTCGCCTGCGGGTCCTTTCCCCGTTTCCTGCGCCTTTGTACTTCTTGAATTGATAGGATTGGTTTTACACATATATAATGCCCTCCAAAAACACGACAAGCGTCTAGCTAACAACTTTTATATATAGACATACATGCCCATGTTTCTCCCTCCTCCCGGGAGGCCTACACCCAAAGCAGCCGCTACCCCTCCGATGCCACCCCCCTAATACACCGCTATGAAAGAGGGTTTTTTATGAACCCTTTTCTATATTCTCTGTATTCAGCGGTAAATATTTATGACGAAGGGATATTTACCTGCAAGTTACGTTATTCTATGCATACTTATAGCCAGATGCCATGTTTTGGACCAGTGCTTTTCCGAACGATATAAACAGGCTGCGTTAACAAAATGTACCATATTATTATTTTTTCCCTTCTTCCTATTAACAATTTTTCATTCTCAAGCAATTCCGGAACCCCTCATACTCTGTGGTTGTGTGAAATTAATTCACCAAAATATTTCCTAGCGACCTAACCGCACTGTGAAAAGGTACAACTACGATACCACAATACAGAAAGTTAGCAAAAGTGTTCTTCCCCATATTCACAGGTTTCCCCACCAACCAGCCAGCCCCCTCCTTTAAATTCTAATTGCTTGCTTTGACTGGTGAATACCACAACACTTAGCCCATCCCCTCCCCCGCCTCCTTACACTCGTGGCCTTGACTCATCATGTGTTGCTAAATTCATACTTCTCCCAGCCTCTTCCCAGCCCAGCTCCTCTATTGTAGGACGCGCAAGCAATGCCGTGTTTTGCCTTTTTATTGAATGATTTCTGGTTAATGCTCTCAGTACCGTTTTTAGGAGGGGTTGGACGCCCAGCCTCTCCGATCAAATATTTCTGGAAGCGGGGGAAGCGGGGGACTGTGTTAGATGAGCTTTGTGGATGATATGGCTTTCGGTTGCTAAGGTGTAGAAGGCTGGGTGGTGGCGGGTCTTTGCGAGATGGATGATTTCCTTTTCTGAAAGTGGTTTGTTCATTTTCGTTGCTACGGTGTTGGGTCGCGATGTATAGGAGTCACCAGCTGTTGCTATGCAAAGTTAACAAACGATTCCAGAAGCTGGGGCTTTCAAAGAATTCATTGTTCCAAAAAATCATCCATAACCTCCATTTTTGATATCCGCGATTTTAAACGTAACTCGACGAGAGCTTTGGAACAAGTTAATCAAGAGGATATTTTTCTACCCCTGAGCTCCCAATCCTTATGGCAACGCCATGCAATTCATCCATGCCTTGGGCAGACTGCGATGCAGGCCTTCTCGATTGTATGATATTGGACCCCACATACCACTGACCAATATTTAATTGTTGCTATTGTTAACACCAATTCCAATCCCAGGTGATGGCATTGCCACCCGCAAATGCAGCACCGAATTTCTTAGCATATTGTGCACGACATTTATCGATTGCATCAAAGACGACAAAGTTCATGTCGAGAACAGCAGTCCCAACATGATATTCGAGAGTGTGATGGCAGAGCTGCGACGACTTTCATCATCTACAACCCTTTTTCCATCAGCAGAGACACAAACACGTTTCTGGGCCCTCTTGTCCCAAGCAATTGATGACCAAGTCGCCGCCGTGCAGTCGAAAGTAGACGCACAGATCCGAGCCGACTTCCTCGTGCGGGCCAACCTGCTCGCGAGGGAAGAAGACCGCCTGTTACAGCGCCTCAATCGCCCGTCGTATAAACCAAGTTTGCTACCGTGGGAACAATTCCTTCTCAAAGGGAGCCCTGGATGTGGTGTACGCCTGCCTCGCACCACTCCGAACGCTACGCTACAACTCATGCCAATTGGCGGAGTAGCGCTCCATCTCAGGTGGATGAGAGATAGACATCTCACCGCGAAGAAGTGTGAAGGCGTAAGTTAGGCATTGGAAACGTCCTTGAGGGATAAGGAAGTTTAGTAATATGTGGTGCTAACTTTGACTTGTTTAATTTTGCTGTTCGAAAAGTCCGTTCTTCCAGATGTGCTACCTGGCGTTCCCTCAACCTTGAGACGAACGAAAGTACGTATTGATTAGTTCATTTTGAGCACAGTCCCTCAATGCGGGCCCCTACCTTGTCAATTCCGGTTGGGCTTGATTGCTAAAGTAAATCAAAATTAGCCTTATCACTGTGACAAACTGCCTTCCTCTGGGCTCGAGTACGAACATACTTGGGTAAGAGACCAACTCTGTCTGGGTGTATTGAAAAAAAAGGAAGGGGAGACAAGGTTTCACTAAGCTGTTTTTCTCCCTGCAAAACCGTAGATTGCTCTGGCCCCAAATATATACTTTGATGTAGGTATCCAATCCCCCCTTACATTCCCGTGCCGTCCCACGACCGTAGTTTGTCCTTCGAATCGCCAAAACGTCGTCGTTTATTTACCTTATTTTTTTTTTCTTTAATAAAATAAATTGGCAGAAGTACGGCTCGTTTCCCCGCGAGGTCAACGTTACGGATCGTCTGGAGAATTTCAATGATGTAATTGGTAAGAATCCTACTCCCAACTCGGCTTTCTTTTCCATTTTCGTTCCATTCGTTTCCTTTTCCTTTTTTGCCCTCTCTTTTCCCTTTTCATTTTCATTTTGTCACAGATGATAATAAGACGACGGAACATTATTAACTGGTGGACTGTGTAGAAGCATTGGAGGGCGAGGAGCTCATGGACTTTAGCAGAGCACGTTCTGGGATCAAAGCAATGTACTATCATTCCCGGAATCCGGACATGATCTAGTTAAATGTGTTCAGGAGTTTCCAAGGGCGCAGGCACTTAAATTACTTTGATCATATACAAAGAAGGGAAATTAAACTTATGTTATGATTCTACTATGATCCCGACCAGGTAGCGGCGTGGTTTGTTACGGAGGCACAGGCGCCTAAGTATATCAACATTGGCCGACAATGATTGGCAGCACCTAGGAAGTCATAACCTCTAGACAGACCCACCTACAAAATCTACTTAAGCCAGCTCCGCAGGCCATAGAATTAAAATAATCAATCCAGAAATGTTCGTGAATATCAGAAATGAGTATTTGGGAATTCTCGGGAAAGTGGCAGGCATGCAAGGTGAATCTAAAAAGGCGGGTGAATGATTCGGCGATGGGTCCGAAGAGGTGAATTCCTTTGTTCTATTAACTTGTTGAACAAATGGTACTTTCTCTTTGGAAAACATCTCACCCCACGTTAATTTATCACATCATAAACTCTCATGTTCTTTTAACCCCTTGTTATCCCATCATTCGCATCCTCACACAACTAACCTTGCACAATACCCATGATCTTTCTTTCGCAAAAACCTCTGTTCCAGCGCCCTCATCAACAACCCCATAACAAATCGGAGGATATACGCATATCAAAATCCTCCTTTCCAACATGGCAGGAAACGATGTCTCTGCCGTCCATCGGGCATTTAACAAACTCTTTACAACCTTGACCCCTGATCAAGTCCAAAACTTCCAACATTTCTTACATGAGGCTACTGCTTCCACCACAAATCCTACCGGCAATGCCGCTGGAATCCCTTCAATGGGCCATGGCCCTACGAACATTCAAAAAACGAACTCTCTTACCGACATGGCAACTCCAATTCTTGCACCAGCAGCATCCAATGCAGTTTCTCGAATCCCTCCTTCCAGGCAAAGCGTGTTCGTGAGAATGGAAAATTGCGTCCGTTGAATTCGTTCATAGCCTTCAGAAGTATGTTTTTAATCTAAACATCGAGGATGTCGGCAGTTAACAAACTCATAGGCTTCTACTCTACGGCATTCCCTGAC